AACCATGTCTCAATTCTCTGAATTCTTATAGCTCTTAGCCCTACCTCTCTGATGACATCTTTCCTCTTCCATCTTGTGTTATAATTTAAGTATAACTCTAATGCCTCAGTTCACTTAGCAGTCAGTAAGCTTTGAGTAGGGACCATCCCTGAATGCCCTCAATGCTCTACATGGTGAAGAAGCATGATTGGATAAATGATGCCCTGTAAGGAATGATTGAATAAACACTGCACTTTCTTCAGTGTCTAGGGAATAGTCAGACATTTCTTCTCTTCATCTAATACCATGCTCTCCTTTGACCTCCCTGTTCTGGCCACGGTGGCCTTTTTGAATGTCTCCTACTTGGTATGCTCCTCCTGCCCCAGGGCCTTTGCGTATGTAGCTCCTTCTTTCTGGAACACTCATCCCTGCCTAGAACATGTATTTTATTTCTTCTTGATATTTCAGCTCAATCACCACTTCTCCAATAAAGGTGTAGTTTATCTTTCTGACTAGATCGAATTCCTATTGTGTGAACTCCCCTGGCACCACAAATTCCTATTGTGTTACCTCTTACCTGCAGTACTCACTGCAGGTACCCCCTTTCACCTTTCTGGGCATGGTGATTTCGTTAATGTCCATTTTCCCTGCAAAACTGTAAGTTCCATAGGACAGAGACAGCTGGAAAATTATCTGCTTTGGATCAGTATTGCATACCTGTCATATAGTAAATGTTCAATAAACATTCATGGAAAAAACAAATGATTAGTTGAGTATATCTGCACTTACATATATGTAAATAGTCTATTAAAAATTTCCAGGCAAACCTAATGGAGGCAATAATTATAACATCTATCATTTTTGTACCTGCTATATGCTAGACCTTGAGCCTAATTGTGCTCTATCTTATTTAATTCTGAATATGATGCTGTGAGTTAGCAATCATTGTCCTTGTTTTACAGATGAGCAGTGATTCAAATAAGTAATTCTGCCCAAGATCACAGAGTTGTTCAATAGGAAAATGGTGATTGAAAGTCATTGCTCATATTAAACACCATTCCAGGATTTTTTTAAAAAAATCAAACATAATACCCTGATCCTTTTGAATACACATGATAAACATAAAAGACTGACCAGATAGTGCTACATCCTTGCAGTTATTCATAAAACTGTAGATTCTCAATCGCAAAGCTGTATATTTCTCAAGGGACTGTATCTTGTTCACCACAGAAGACCCATCAGCTGGTACAGGGCTTGGCACACAGTAGAGGTACTAAATGGATGTACTAAATGGATTTAAACTTGAAACAATGTCACATCCTTGTGAAAAATAAACACATATATCCAAAGCCAAACATCTGCTTTGGAGAAAGCAAATAAAGAAGTAAGAAACGGAAAAGAAAGGAGATAGGGTACCAAAGGTATTGAGCACCTAGTGTGCTTTGGCATGCTAATTTAGATGGCTTCTTGATTATTGTAGATGTTCTTTCACCTAAACCTACAATAACACTGTGACACCATTATATTATTCCTGCTGTTTGCAGATGAGAAATCTGATGCTCAGAAATGGTTTTCACCTCAGGGCTGAATGGTTCCACAGTCTATAATGATGGCCAGTATGGTGATTGGCAACATCACAGATGGGTGAAGGCTTCCAGGTCAAGGTCAACACCCACCTGAGAAGCTCCCAGAATAGCTGTGTGACATGGCTCAGAAACCCATTCTCCTGACTAACTTTGAAGACAAAGCCTTAAATGAGCCACAGGACTCCTCACTCCCATTTCTGTTGGTTTTATTTCCTAATGTCAGTTATTTTTGCACATGACCACCTCATAGTTCTTTACCTGAACTATTGAGGGGGAAAAAATGGCTTGCTGAAATGAAAGTGCCATCAGGCTCCTGATTTCTTCTAAAACAATCAGTCAACCCTTTTAATTTACTTACTGCAGGGAATGTCCAATGGTCCAGATCCCTCCACGGTAATAAACAGAAAGAGTAACAGTAGAAATGACTAAGGATAACGACCAGAGAAAATTGAAGCCATGGCACTGAGCCCCATAATAATGCTCTAGGACAGTGAAGCCATGGGGAACTCAACTGCACATTAACTAAAACCTAAGATTCATCATGAGGTTACATCCTCTGCAAGGCAGGAGTAGGGCAATTCTTGGCTGCACACTGAATTATTTCAGTGAAATGGTACCATCTTCCTGATACCGTCTGTTCAACCATTAGTGAATTCTTGTGACGGTACTTCTCTTATGTAACATTTCTATATGCACTCCCTCCTCTTCCTCTCAGAATAGCCTCATGCAGTGGAAGAGGCAGTTACAATTAAGATCACCATTGTACAGTTGAGGACACAGAGGCTGGAACCCTATTTAATGGCTCCTCTAAGGGCTCACGGCTAATTGGGGCCGAACAAAGACTGGAACTTGGTCTATTGAATTCTTATGCTCCTTCCACGGCTCCTCACTACCTTCTAAGAAAACACATAGAGGAATACACTTATTAAAAGTTTCCACACTAACAACTGCTTTCCAAGTGACGACCTCTAGGGGAAAATCAGTGAGGGTTCCGTGAGGGTGCTTGATGAGCCAGGGAGGTCGGTCACTGTGTTCCTCAGGCCTGTGACAGAAGGTGTGCAACCAGTCCTCGGGGAGTGTGCTGGGCGAGGAGCCAGGGCTGCTGCTGCTGCTAAAGTGTGAGAGCAGCAAGTGGCATACTGTAAAAGGCACACGAGCGTGCTCATCAAATGACATCCATACGTGTGAGTGCCCAGGCTGCCGCTGTTCTTTCTTTAGAACTTCATCTCAGCCAGCAGAGGAAATAGTACTGAAGTTAGTAATAATAATTATAATGATAATGCCCTATCATATTGACTAATATCAGCTTTAATCCTCATCCAGCTGTACAAAATGTATTATTAGCCCCATTTTACAGATGGAAAAACCAATGTTTTCAAGTTGTAAGTCCTTACTGCTACTAAGTGGGCAGTTTTCAGATCTGATGCTGGGTTGTTCTATTTTAGATTTTTTTTTCCCCACCCCAACATGTTTCTTTCAGATCTAGTTAAATCAATCAGTTGGGATAATAATTTAATAAGTTAAATATTTTAGACTAAAGACCATTTCTTTCCCCCTTAAACTCTCTAGATCTTGTGGTACGGTATCCATCCCATGGATTTGCCATGCAAGTTTAAGCATAGTTGCCTCTAGAATGATATTTTGGCTTAATGTAAAGCACAAAGGAAACACTAACACTTTTTAAGTGAGTGCCCCCTTCAGTTTGATTTGGCCGCCTGGGGTTCCTCCTAGTCCCTTTGAATCAAATTTGCTCTTGAATCATATTTATTTCTTTTGTATTTGGGGTCAGTGATGTGCTCCTAAAGGAAAAAAGGTATATAGGAAAGGAGGGGCAGCGTGTGAGATTAATCTTTAACAAAAAGGACAAATCCAGTTTAAGCAAAGGGAAGAGAGACCGTGTCAGGGCCACTGTCACTCTCAAAACATGCAAAAGGCTTCTCTGGCACATTATAACTGTTCCCAAAGTGGTCTGCAGGACAGCCATCAGGCACCCAATCAACAAAGATGAAGACCAGTTACAAGATGAAGGATTCCAAGTAATAGGATGACGAAGGCTACATTCTTGGGAACTGTGTCTTCTTGAAAACTTGCCCTGATAGGGCACCTGGGTGGCTCAGTTGGTTAAGTGTCTGACTTCAGCTCAGGTCATGATCTCACGGTTCATGGGTTCAAGCCCCGCATCAGGCTCTGTGCTGACAGCTAGCTCAGAGCCTGGAGCCTGTTTCAGATTCTGTATCTCTCTCTGACCCTCCCCTGCTCGCGCTGTCTCTCTCTCTCTCTCTCTCTCTCTCAGAAATAAATAAAACATTAAAAAAATTTTTTTAATAAAATAAATTAAAAATGAAATAAAAATAAATAAAAAATAAAATTTAAAAATAGGAAGTAAAATAAAAGATAAATTAAGCCCATGAATCCAGAAATATCCTTGGGATTGATTGAGATACATGCATAATTCATAATTGTTTTAAAAATTATAATGCTANCCCCTGCTCACGCTGTCTCTCTTGCTCTCTCTCAGAAATAAATAAAACATTGAAAAAAAGAAAAAAGAAAAGAAAACTGCCCTGAATTCAGCATTGTGTGTATTCCTCAGGAGTATGTTACTGCTTATAAGTGATCCACGTGAGAAATTCTGTGTGACATCTGGGTGGGGTGATCTCTTACAAAGACCCTGAACCCCATGTCCTGAAAAAGGTCAGTGACCACTGTTCGAAGGATGTCAATTGTGGCTCCCCCTCCCCTGGGGAATTTAGGAAATATGTATAACATCAAGGCTTTGATGTATCACCTCATTTAGACCTTACACGAGGCTAGCATAAAGAGCCCGTGACTGCAGTTCGCTCAGTCATTCAATATATACATTTATTAAGCGCATACTGCCTGTCAGGCCCTGTGCTGGGGATACTGCCCTTTTGGAATTTACTTTTTTTTTAATTTTCTTTTTAATGTTTTATTTATTTCTCAGAGAGAGAGACAGCGTGAGCAGGGGAGGGTCAGAGAGAGAGGGAGACACAGAATCCGAAGCAGGCTCCAGGCTCTGAGCTGTCAGCACAGAGCCTGACGCGGGGCTCGAACCCACGAACCGTGAGATCATGACCTGAGCCTACGTGGGACGCTTAACAGACTGAGCCACCCAGGCGCCCCTGGAGTTTACTTCCTTAAGGGAAAGAGAGGAAGCGAGAAGAGAAGGGGGCTCGGGAGAAAAGCACGAGCGGCGGAGGGGAGGAAGGAGGGGTAGCAGCCTCGCAGCCTCGCTCTGCTGGGCGTGCATCCACCCCCCCACCCCCACCCCCGCACACACACACAAACCCCTATACTCCACCCCACCCCCTCCACCCTTCGCTCTCCCCCATCGTCCTGGCTTCTCCCTCTCCGCCTCGTGTCGCCTACCCCTCCCTCCCTGTTCCGTCGGGTCGTGGGGGTCCCGCGCGCCCTCCACGCCTGCCCCCTGCCCCACCCGACGCTCCCGCCGCGCAACTGTCCTGCCTGTACCCGCCCGCGCCCACCGCCCCCGTGGGCAGGCGCCCGCGTCCACGATGGGAAATGAAGCCAGTTACCCGACGGAGATGTGCTCCCACTTCAACCACGAAGAAATTAAAAGGCTGGGCAAGAGGTTTAAGAAGCTGGACCTGGACTGTTCGGGCTCTCTGAGCGTCGAGGAGTTCCTGTCGCTGCCCGAGCTGCAGCAGAACCCGTTGGTGCAGCGAGTGATCGACATCTTCGACGCCGACGGCAACGGAGAAGTGGACTTCGAGGAGTTCATCGTGGGGACCTCCCAGTTCAGCGTCAGAGGCGACGAGCAGCAGAAACTGAGGTTTGCCTTCAGCGTCTACGACATGGATAAAGACGGCTACATTTCCAACGGGGAGCTGTTCCAGGTGCTGAAGATGATGGTGGGGAACCACCTGCAAGACTGGCAGTTACAGCAGCTCGTGGACAAAACCATCATCATCCTGGACAGGGACGGCGACGGGAGAATATCCTTCGAGGAGTTCAGCGCGGTGGTTGGAAACCTGGAGGTCCACAAGAAGTTGGTGGTAATCGTGTGAGCCTTTTTTTTTTTTTTTTAAGTGCACCACCCACCAACTCTCGCTTAACTCCTGTGTCTCTTTCAAGATCGGCTCCAGGCAGCCCAGCAGCTGTCTCTCTGACTTATTTGCCAGTGTTCCTCTTTGCCAAGCCACATGGCCTAACACGAACCTCATGACCAGCTCCGTGTTATTAATTCTTCTCTCAGTGATTCAGGGTAACACTCTGCAGGAGCTTGGTGGGGAAAGAAAAGCAAATGGCTTTTATAAACGTGTTTTTCTTTGTTTTGACCCAGAAACCAAACTCTAAAGAGTCCAGAAGAAGTTGAAAAATTCAAAAATAAGAAAATTTACATATCTTTGCCTCTACTTCTCGTGCTTTTACACAGGGGAGAAAATTGCACAATTTAAGTCAGGTGTTAGGTGAACTGACTTCATTTATCCGTTGTGTCCAGGTATCTTTTGACGGATTGTTAACCTCCCGTTGTGGCAACAGGAATAAATACATTTCTCTTGGCTGAGCAGCTTTTAAGCAGCTCTCTCGGGGCCGGGAAAGCCCATCTTTCCCTTTCGCAGGGTGCAGCCTGCTCCCCATCTTCATCCAGAACTCCCTGAGTGTGTCTGGAGGCCTCCTCCTGCCTCAGTGTTCCGGCGCCTGCCCTGGGACTGGTCTCAGGGCTCTTGTAAGAAATACTAAGCCTGGACTGAGTGCCCAGCCCAGCTCTCAACCTCAGTGGCGGTCGGTCTTTCAGGATGGGCTACCCACCCCAATATTAAGGTCAGTTAAGGTTCCTTCCAGACAGGGCAGGGACCTTCTCAGAAAGCTCTCACCTCCAAAACTCAGCCCCGCCCACCACTCCCCAATTAAAGGGAAGGGGACGGATTCAGAGCCATTCTTCCTAAAAGGCAGAGGCAGTGAAGACCCCAGCTGGAGCGGGCTTCCCCTGGGACGCTGCAGTGGTGCTGGTGCTGCTCCCGGTCAGCAGGCAGGGGCCACTGCTGTCTGCACTAGCTAAGCTTAGCTTTCAACATCAGACCTGGGGCCCGGCAGGAAAAATGAGAGCTCTTGCATCTCAGGAAGACTTTCCGTTCCTCACACCCTAATAAATCTGCAGCCACAGGGCGTAGCAGAGCCTGTTCCCGCTGGACCAGTTGTAGGCGTCTCTTCCTAGCTCTGTGTTCAGTGGTGTTGTGTCGATAGCTTGAAATAGGCTGTGGTGGGACTAGTGTATCACAGAAAGGTCCTCTGTTTGGAGAACCAGTGTACCAGTAAGTATACCACTGCCTGTACCCCCGATGTCACCAGCTCTCCACGGTCCCGCTGACTGTCAGTTCTCAGAAAACAAGCTGTCCTTGGTCCCAGCATCTGCCACTTCACACCCATCTTCTTCCTCAGAGTAGACCACTCCCCCTGGTCTCAAAACACCAGGACAATGAAATGTACTCTCCCTACACTGGACAAAACTCAGGTGATTTTGTTCAGGATGCAGAAGATCTGTTTGAAAGATATTATCATCCCTATATTTTGAAGAAGACAGTAGCTAGTTTTGAAAAAACAAAAGAAAGAAAAATAAGCCCACACATTTAGTTACTGTCAGGGCACCCATCTATCAAGGCTCCCATACTTTTTATTTAGGAGATTATGTAGGAACTACCAAAAAATAAAGGATTCTTTGTCCCTTTAATTCCTGTGCAGTCCTAATGTATTAATGATCAGTAAATGGTACCAACCCTGTAGTGTTATGAGTCATACCCCCATTGAAGGATAGCATCATTCAAAGATTCAGACAACTCAGTTTGGAGTCATTCACACCTGGGTTTGCATGACAGTCACTTATTAGCTGTGTGAGCATGAGCAAGTTACTTAAACTCTCGGTGTCATTTCTCCTAATTAAAACAAGGATCCGTCCTATGGTTATTTTGAGGATTCAAAAAGATAAGACATGGCTGTCTCAGTAGACAGTACGATTCTTGATCTAGGGGTTGTGAGTAGATGTAGAGCCTACTAGAAAAATAAAAATAAATAAAATATGTAAAGTCCCTAGAGCACAATGGGTTCATTCTAGTTCCTAGTAGAAGTAAGATGATGAAATGATATGAGTAAATTAATTGGCTATTCCAGAGATAAGAATAATAGTTTAAATTATTTATGTTCTCTGACTAATATAAAAATGTACTCATCAGAGAATTTGGAGCAAAATACATGTAAACTTAAAAGAGTAAATGATAAATGTCTAAATGCAGTAGCTCAGGATTATATGTACCCTTGAAAATACAATAATAAAGATTATTGTTCAAATATTAAAAAAATTAGATCAATATATATCAATATATATATCCATATATATATTGATCTAATATATATAAGGGAAACAGGAGATCTATTGGTTCTTTTTGAACCCTTACTTGGTACTCAGCTACACCACTCTAAAATTAACCGAACAGAGGCGCCTGGGTGGCTCAGTCGGCTAAGCGTCCAACTTCGGCTCAGGTCATGATCTCACGGTTCGTGGGTTCGAGCCCCGTGTTGGGCTCTGTGCTGACAGCTAGCTCAGAGCCTGGAGCCTGCTTCGGATTCTGTGTCTCCCTCTATCTCTGACCCTCCCCTGCTCACGCTGCCTCTCTCTCTCTCTCTCTCTCTCTCTCTCTCTCAGAAATAAATAAAACATTAAAAATTTTAAATAAATAAAATTAACTGAATTATTTGTGTAATCCTAATCCAGAAGGGAAGCAATGTCATAGTCCTTCCTACCCTTTCATTTGCAGAGGGAACAGTAGACATTTTGATGAAGAAAGTTTAAAAGAAAGACCCTCATTTTGATAAAAAGATCAGGTCAGGTTGCCAGAAGTTCAAAGGAGGAGAGGAAGATGGATGGGTGGAGCACAGGGCATATTTAGGAGTGCAAGACTGTTCTGTGTGATACAATAATGATGGGTATACGACATTGCCCATTTTGGGAAACTCCATAGAAGGCATGACTCCAAGAGTGCACCAGATGTAAATAACGCAGTTTAGTTAACAATAACATATCACGTTGGTTCATCATTTGAAACAAATAAGCCACTTGAAGAAGTTACTAAGTGAAACTGTGCATGCAAGTAGGGATATATGTAAATTTTTATACTTTCTACAGGTTTTCATAAGCCTGCTCTTCAAATAAAGTCTATTAAAATGTTTTGAAAAAATTAAAGACGCTCATTCAAGCCCAACCTATTTAGCTTTGTGGAGGAAATTTTGCATGAGTAAAGCGAGCATGTGTAGTGCTAGCCAAGAAGAAGACCTCTCAGAGACATTATGTACTCTGCAATGTGCACATTAAAATACAGAAATTTTAAAATTATGACCAAGCATTTGAACCATGTTGAATTACATGTTTAAGTTTAACAAGAAGAGTAAAAATATTTCAGCTTCTGGAATGGCTAGAATTAACAAGCTAATTGCTCAATCAGGCTACTTAATGTATCTACCCAGGGCTTTATGGCAATGACCTTGAACCGAGCCTGTTTCTAGCTTCAGCAACTGGAAAGATCTGACTGTATGGGTGTTTGGTTGTATGGATAGTCAGGAAAAAAGATCACATTCATTTCCAAGTTATAATACTCTGATTTTTCTGTTAATTGCCGGTTGCCAACAAATCTAGTTCTGTACAACTTCTTGGGGTGATAATGGTAGTTAACATTTATTGAACTCCTGTCCCAGGTATTGTTACGTTTGTTATATGATTTAATCATAAGCACACTGTGAGGTAGGTGCCATCGTTCAGTTTAGCAGATGATGCTGTAGAGAGATCTAGAGTCTTCTTCAAGTTCTCCCAGCTGGTGAGCGGCAAAGCAAGAACTTAAACCAGGCTTTCTGACCCCAAACACTGAGCTTTTTCTACCTCACCGCATTGCCACGTATTTTTTATAGTTCTTATATTTACCCACTTCAAATTATTTCTGATGTCTTATTAATGTAATCGAGCCTCAGTTTTCACAAAAGGAATGAACTGTTTCTCAAGGAGCAAGCAGCCGCCACCACTTTCATTCTGCGCATTGGGGAAAAAATAGTTAGGCAAGGCAGTCCTTTTTTTTTTTTTTTTTTTTTTAGAAAAGATTTAAAATTTTTTTAATTTATTATTTAACTTACATCCAAATTAGCACACAACGATGATTTCAAGAATAGATTCCTTAATGCCCCTTACCTATTTAGCCCATTCCCCCTCACACAACCCCTCCAGTAACCCTCTCTTTGTTCTCCATATTTAAGAGTCTCTTCTGTTTTGTCCCCCTCCCCTGTTTTTATATTATTTTTGCTTCCCTTCCCTTATGTTTATCTGTTTTGTATGTATCTTAAAGTCCTCATATGAGTGAAGTCATGTGATATTTGTCTTTCTCTGACTAATTTCACTTAGCATAATACCCTCCAGTTCCATCCATGTAGTTGCAAATGGCAAGATTTCATCCTTTTTGACTGCCGAGTAACATTCCATTGCATATGCATACTCCACGTCTTCTTTATCCATTCATCCATCGATGGATATTTGGGCTCTTTCCATACTTTGGCTATTGTCTATAGCACTGGAATAAGCAATGGGGTGCATGTGCCCCTTCGAAACAGCATTACTTGTATCTCTTGGATAAATACCTAGTAGTGCAATTGCTGGGTCATAGGGCAATTCTATTTTAAATTTTTTGAGGAATATCTGTACTGTTTTCCAGAGTGGCTGCAGCAGTTTACATTCCCAACAGCAGTGCAAAAGAGGTTCTCTTTCTCTGTATCCTCGCCAACATCTGTTGTTGCCTGAGTTGTTAATGGTAGCCATTCTGACAGGTGTGAGGTGGTATCTCATTGTGGTTTTGATTTGTATTTCCCTGATAATGAGTGACGTTGAGCATTTTTTCATGTGTCTGTTCACCATCTGGATGTCATCTTTGGAGAAGTGTATATTCAGGCCTTTTGCCCATTTCTTCACTGGATTATTTGTTTTTGGCTGTTGAGTTTGATAAGTTATTTATATTTTTGGATACTAACTATCTGATATGTCATCTAGGCAAGGCAGTCTTAAGTCATCTTCCACTTTCATCTCATTTTGAAAAATAAGTGACACTATTTAGATTAAACCTATGATGGCAACCAATACGCTACAAGGCTGTAGAAATCGGTAACAATATGTTGTTAGGAATCCTATATTAATGGATTGTAGCTGCTTTCTACCATATGTTGTAATCCCAAACCAGTAGACACCGTGTGTGTGTGTGTGTGTGTGTGTGTGTGTGTGTGTGTGTGAAACACAGGAGAAAGTAGGGCCCTAGCATTGTTGGTTTATCCTCTTACGTCTCCCATGCTTTAGAGGCATTCTCAGGGAAAACTCCCA